ATATAATTGTATAAAAATATTTTCAAAAACAAGCACAGAATCTCAGATTTTCAAATATTTTCTTCTGTGTCTAATTCTAATAGGTAGGCTATGGCTAATTTGTTTGGAACAAAAAGCAAAATGTCAAAAACTTTACACGCTATTGTCAGTTTCTGATTATTAGTGAGATATTTTACTGTTTTGGTATTTCTAATTCCCGATACAAAATATTTAATTTATACTAAATCATATTGAATCATGGGCCATTACTAAACTCTTGCCGATTTTTGCCGCCAGCTCTTAGACTATATGGTCTGCCCCTTCTTACGAAATCGTGACGTCAGTTTATTTTCGCAGTAAACTTCTTACCGTTTGAAAGTCACCGTTTTTCACATCGTGAGAACCAAAGTAAATAAGGTAGGAATTGGTGTTCTTCTTAAATTTCTGGAGGTTATATGCCTCGGGGAACACCTCCCTTGGCAATGTGTTCCAGAGCCTCGCTGTTCGTTGGATGAACGAGTCTTTCGAAAGAGATGTACTGCAGGTCTCGAAAGTGACCACGAAGGGGTGCGAAGCCTCAACTCGACAGGTTCATCTCGCGGGGACTGCCATCGTCCATTAAAACATCTATAAAATAGAGCCATATCGCCATATCAAACTTTTCTACGGTGTTCCAGAGAAGTGAGTGAGTTTGTGAGTGAGGCATCACCCACGAGACGAATTGCCAATTTTTGGACAGAATCCAACAGTTTCAGGGTACGTTTGGGTACTGCACTCCAAATATGGAAACAGTATTCCAGGACAGATCGGATCTGTGCCTTATAGATCATAAGCAGCTGACTGAGAGTGAAATAGCTCCTGGCCCGAAACAGAAAACCAAGTTTTTGGGATGCACTTTTAGCAATTGATCCCAACGTGATTTTCCCAAGAAAGGTTATTGCTGATTGTAATACCAAGTGAGATCGGCTTTTCTAGAGAGAAGGCATGCTTGTGTTTTGTTTGCATTGAAATCTACCAAGTTATTGGATCCCCATTCGAGAATTGTTGCCAAGTCCATATTTATGTTGTCAACATTTCTTCCTCGTTCATTTCAGATTTGCCTAGTTGGTATTGGAGCCCTGGAAGAGAAGGCGGTATGGAGGGTACTATCATCCGCGAAGCTGTGTACTGAACATGATTGCAATATGATGATTTAAGCACTTTAAAATTGACAGAAAAATTCAAAAAAATACGAAATTGGAAGATAATTGAGTTACGATTCTATCGAAGGAATAGAAAAGTCCACTCGCATATTGTGGACATTCCAATCAATACTTCCCGAAAATATTTCGGAGGGGGAAGCAGCCCCCCTACTCCCCGTGTTCCACGGTGTAGCTAAATTCATAATGAGAATTGTGGAACTGTGAAAGGGTTGAACGGCGGCTGGCGGGGCGAGGGGAATTCGAGAGATGAAAATTAATGTTATGCAATTCTGCGAAGGTAGGAGACTAAATGTAATTAATTATCTGTGCTCGTAATGACTCTGACTGATGAGGTGTTTGCTGGGCCCTGGGCTGAGGGGCAGGGACGAAGAAACGATAATCGACCGAACAGAGAATTCGTACATACATTCATCTACATGGAGGGGGGAGAGGGAATTACAATAATTTGTTTTTCAGGGCGTTCCACCCCTCTTTTTTTTCATAGTACAACGAATTGCAGCTTATTGCTTATTGTATTGGAAAATGATGCATGCACATTATTTTGCTACTACCTATATTCAATTAACCAGGTGTTATCAATTCATTAGACATCGTGAGAAGCAAGGGAAATGAGGTATGAGGTAGGAATTGGTGTTCTTCTTGAATTTCTGAAGGTTATATGCCTCGGAGAACCCTTCCCTTGGCAATGTGTTCCAGAGCCTCGCTGTTCGTTGGATGAACGAGTCTCTGGAAAGAGATCTTCTGCAGGTCTCCAAAGTGACCACGAAGGGGTGCGAAGCCTCAACTCGACGGCTCAATCTCGCGGGGACTGCCAAGAGAGGAACAATTGTTGATACTTCAGAAGAGCATCGTCCATGGAAATATCTATAAAATAGAGCCTAATTTTATTGCAAGCAGATGAATATGAATTTTGTGCGACTCTACCTCAACTCTCGTGATCCAAAATCTTGGAAGATTAGGTAAAGAGTATGGTGAGGAATATGAAGAGTACACAATTGAATCGATATAGAAAACTATACAGGAAGTATACTTCCCTGAACATAAACGTAAGATAAATCTATTTGAGGAAGGTTCATTTAGGGGAACTGATGTTAGTTTTTTTCGAAAAAGTTGTCTTCTTTCAAAATTATGGTCCTTCCTCACGGAGCGTTCCGTATCAACAAATTCTATCTGCGCGCAATTGACCGTTTCCCCCCACACTCGTGCTCAATTATTATTGTCCTATTCATTCTCTATCTGACAAAATTTTTGACCGCTTCAGTGTTTTATGGTTTTTGGGGACACCCTGTATGTTTCGAAATAATTTTAAATGGTAGCCTATGTTGACATGCAACTTCCTAGAGAGGAAGAATTCCAAGAAGATAAGTGGTTAGCCTTCTGGAGACCGAGGCGTTACTGGTGGCCCACCCTGTATAATAATATACACTGTTGATGGCTTTTGTTGTGTTATAGTTCCGAAAAATGAGTCAATAATACCGTCTCCGAGAACTGCAAGTCCTTTTATCTTCCATTCGACTTCGCGGTTACGTATTTTACTAAACAAGCACTAAATTTGCAATTTTTTGAAATCAAATCACAGAATTAGACTGACAGAGTGACATCAGATATTTGATCACTTCAAAAGAATGATAAAGATGCCGACAACGCAGGTGTCCCTACTGTTGAAAACTTAAAATTTCACGTCGAAAATTTTCAGATTTCAAAATAATGTACCTGATATCTTCCCAATATTGATTCGTCCTTTCTTCTGTCACAGAAAAAAAATAGTGTATTATAGAAGGGAGAAATATTTTGTTAAACAAAACAACCTGGAGCTAAAATCTACTTCGTTTCTCCCTTGTACAGGGTATCCCAATTTGGGCACTTTTGCGGGGTATCTCCCTTATCAGTAAAGATAGAGCATTGCGGTTTTCGCGACAGTGTGCTACTTTTTTATGAAATCAATAATAACGCAAGCAGAATTGTGATAGCTCTTCTGGTTGTCGAGATACAGGGTGGAATTGAAAAATATCACTTTTCAGGCACCCTCCGTGTCTCAGTTATCTTTAAACTTATCGAAGAAATTGAAACTTGTTTTTATAGAGTTTTTCTCGTAGAATCCAGTGGCGTAGTTATTTTTTTGCTAGCACCTTTTGTTTTTTAGTTATGGAGCAAACATATGTTTTTTTAAATGGAACACCCTGTATATTATTTCATATATACATTGAGCATGAAGTGGGCTTTCCAAAAATATATAATTGTATACAATTATTTTTCATTTAAAAAAACATATGTTTGCTCCATAACTGAAAAACAAAAGGTGCTAGCAAAAAAATAACTACGCCACTGGATTCTACGAGAATAACTCTATAAAAACAAGTTTTAACTTCTTCGATGAGTTCAAAGATAACTGAGCCACGAGGGTTGATATTTTTCAATTCCACCCTGTATCTAGACAACCGGAAGAGCTACCACAATTCTGCTTGCGCCATTAATAATTTCATAAAAAAGTAGCACACTGTCGCGAAAACCGCAATGCTCTATCTCTACTGATAAGGGAGATACCCCGCAAAAGTGCCCAAATTGGGATACCCTGTACAATAAAAATAACTATTCTTAGAGTAAACTGTTGTGACAAGTTAATTTCGCTCTTGAAAATGAAGAAGTGCTCTCAAAGACATAAATCAAAAGTCAAAATGTAGGAAAGGAATGGTTCCTAACAAAAAATAGTAGCTAGAAAGAATTTGGTAACGAAATTATTCCACAGAGTGTTATGAAATTAGGGTTACACAACAACCTTTCATTGAACCCTGTGTAATGACTAAACCGCCAGCGTTTAACAAAAGACTGAATATACAAGTTGAAATCAGTCATTTTATCTACAGTCGAACCGAAAATTAAAAAGCTATGAGACTTTAAATTTGACCGAATATTGAGTTGTGCGTTTTTTTGCATCTGAGTGTAGATACTATATTATTTTGTTAATGGAATTTTCACGGTATTTGCTTGTTTTATAGATGGAAAATTTGGAATTAAGCTTTGGAACATATATTGCAATTTGTTTCATAAAGTAGATACACAAGAGCACGGATATATTTTCATATATCAATGGTTAATCTTGTAAAACTCGACATGTAAGAGAAGAAAAAAACAGCGAACGCTGAACAAAACCCTATGACAATGATTTTTCTCACAATGGCAATAAGCCTCTGGGTCCATTCTCGTACTGAAAATTAAATCGATGGCAACAAAAGAAGGAATTAAAATGAGAACTGGAAGCGAGGAAAAAATTGGAAATTTTCCAATGTCTGTCCCAACATGTAGTTTGTTTTATTAAATTTGCAGTTATGTGTGAAACCGAAGGGTTATGTTCAATTAAAAACTCCTTTGTTTTCAACTTTAATAAGCACTCCGCGTTCTCTGGTGACTAAACGCGCTTTTTATTGAACTGCGTAGACTTCGCACGAATAACTCTTAATACAATTCCCAGTCGATGAATGAATAATATTGAATTCTTTGTCGGATTATTTCCCTTCTGATATATGCTACAAGAGGCAGTGCTGGAACTGGAGGGGTTTCAACGGCTGAAATAATTTCCAAAATAACCTAGGTTCATTCTTAACGATATGTATAAACTGCCAATTTCAAAATTACATAGAAGTGAGCGATAATTTTTGTCGGTTACTCTCTCAGACCTCTTCAAAGTTAAGGACACTAAAGATCGGAAAAAGGTTGAAGAGGCTGACAGGGATATTTTACGTCGTCTAATTGTAGCAGACAAATTGACTTGCCCTCCATTTTGAGCACGAGCTTCTTCCAGTACCTTTATCGATAGCGGAAATGGATGGCACCCTCAGATCGTCTGAAAAAGCATCGATAATAAAACTCGTTGCTAAAGGCGTGGAATGCCCAAACTCCATTAACATTGATCGGAACACTTCGCAACTGATTATAGACGGTCAAGCTTTAGTAAACAGCATAGGGAAACCAGCAACTGCCACTACTTTCGGAGACCTCGCTGCAATATTCATGGACAGGGTGGTTCACCTTGAAAGACCGTATGCCAGAGTCGACATCCTTTCCGGTATCGTCCCAAGTCAATCAAAAGTGGAACCCGCTGCAGACGGACCAGGGGAACTGCTCCAGTCAGAAGGGACATCACAAGTGCAGCCATTCCACTGCCAAAAAATTGGAAGAATTTTCTAGCACTGGGGGACAACAAGGCCGACCTAGCCCGCTTGCTCTCTCAGGGAGTTCTCCAATATGTCTTTAATGACATCGAAATTGTTGTCTCCGGAGGACTCATACATGAAGAGGATGTGCGATCAACCAACCCCGAATCCGACGTCAGTTCCCTAGCAGCGACACATGAAGAGGCCGATACACGCGTTGTACTACATGCTGTCCACTCTGATGCTGACAACATCGTCATCATGGCCAGGGATACCGACATTTGTTTGCTGTTGATCCATCACTTTGACAAAATGACCAGTTCTGAAGTGTGGATGATGAGTGGCACAGCGAAAGAAAGGAAGTATCTCCCAATACATGAGATTTGCAACATTCTCCCTAATGTTCAAAAGAAACACATCTAGGCGTTCCACGCAGTTACGGGTTGCGACTCGACGTCTCACCTTGCAACGATAACGAAGAAAGCAGCGTGCAAAGTCTTCAATGGAACGGCCTGCCAACTTTTAGACAACCTAGGGCACTCTCCGCTAACTCCCTCATCAAAGGCGAATGCAGATAAGTTTCTCGTTCAGCTCTATAAGGTCGGTAAAGTTTTTTCAGGTGTTTCAGCAAGTCCAAATATCAATTATAACGTTTTTATTTCTCTGAACAGGTGACTAAAGATGTATCTAGCGGGGATGAAGCCAGATATCAACTTTCTGGTGTTTTGATAAAGCCAGAAGCCTTACCTCCAACAAGCGATGCGCTGCGACTACACCCTCTAAGATGCCATTACCAGGAAAAGAAATGATGGGAAGCATACTGTGATCAGTATAACCAGTTGCTTTTCGGTAATTATAATAATAAACATTTCAGGTGAACGTGTGGGAAAATGCTCATCATGCCCGACCGGAGGTGATGGATCCTGAGTCATATGGGTGGAGGCTTCACCAAGACGAGTACATATCCATTCTTATGACACTTGAGCCCGTTTCCAAAGCTTGCACGAATATTTTAACCTGTAATTGTTTGTCCCACTGCCTGACAACAATGTGCACGTGCAATAAGAATAGACTGACTTGCACCAAGTTGTGCCACCGCTCTCACCAATGTCTTAACTCTTCAAATGATTGATAAATTATCATTTTTGTATTATTGCCATCAGCTACAGAACTATTTTTTCATTATCTTTCCACAATCCTGCAATAAACAGTGTTTGAACTCTGGAATGGTCATTTCCTTCACTTCCTTCGGCGGCCATCTTGAAGCCCATGCAATCATAACTTGAGGTAAGTAAATTTCAAGCACTGCAAAGTACCAAGCATCCGGGAGAAGCCCTAAGCAGATGTTTGAACCATTATTACAAGCCAACGGACATGGGAGATATGGGGCAACAGAGTTTTGACCAACATCTCGGCCGCCATCTTGAATACCGGACTTCCGGTCCAAATTTCGCTTTGGCAACAGGCAGATTCGTATTCAGCGGGGTCGAAATACATCAAAAACGTTGTTTCACCAATTGTTACATGAAATGCTTCTTGCAATGTTAATTTTTGAAAACGTGCCTAGTCTATTATTGCCTCTCTCCAAAGACTACCTTTCTTTGTCGAGCGGCAATCTATCACTTTGCGCTCTAAATACACAAATAGCTATTGTGAATTACAATTGAAAAAGGTGTAGTTCGTATATAGGCGCGCAAAGAATTGCGAACTGAGGGGCTTTTTTGCTAATTTTCTCGTTGAATTTGTTTTCCCTATTCTATCTTTGTATGTAATTCGAAATATCATCTTATTGTTATGCTCTAGGGGGTAGCAATCGAAATAAAAAAATATGATTTACATACCTCAATTATGTTGTTGCCCACATATCGATAATAGGTTTCAATAATCCGATGCTTAATCCAAATGAACGCGGGGGATGACAATCGAGAATTGAAAATAAATAAACAAACCCTCCATGCATTAGATGTTCGAGCAACAAAACCACGCCAACCAGCGCCACTATTCCCGCACAAGACAAATTAGGGATAGACTTAGTTAGATATGTAATAGAAAATCGATGGGATTCGGACTGTTGTAGAAATAGCTCAGCAGTAGTATGCAAGGGCGGTTTAGAGTTGTGCCAATTATATTAAATATCATTTGATAAATAAAATAAATTTCAATCGTCATCAGAACAAATTTGCTAATCGTAGTTTACTCCCAATCAACAATCAAAGGACACGTTTTGCTTCGATCCCTTATGTAGGCAAAGTTTCTAAAGATATCAGCAATATTTTTCTTAGATTTTGTGATGACCTCGATATGTCCTTTTACACTACTCTCCCCCTAAAATATAAACTGACTTGTTCACATCTCAATTGCAACTCCCAGTACATTGGCCAAAGTCACAAACTCACTTCGACTGCCTCAAATTTTTCAATTCCTCAAAATTCTCTCAATAACTTGTCAATTATTTCCAATAATATTATTTTCTCACCTTGCTCTTCATTACAGGTCGGTGGACTAACGCCAAGTTGGTTTATCAATCTTGAATATGTTCCCAATCTGACGTAGTGTTGCTATTTGTTTCGTGGGTGTTACATCATATTTATATACTATTCCATGATTTTAGACTTTTGTTTCGTGATCTGGTTGACATGACATATTATGTCTGTCATATATCATTTTGACAGCTCAATTTTTCCGGTTTTATTACACGTGAGTTGAGTTTATTATTTCACAGGGCAACTTTGATACCCCATTAAACTTTGTTCGATTTTTTGAATGTGTGATTGTCACCTTTGGCAATTTAAGGGCACGTGGGCCCTTATGAAATCAATAAACCGAGCCCTTTCTTAAAATAAATAATACTTCTCGATGTTTTTATGAAAAACAAACATTTCATTATACCTAGTAGGTTTTCAATTTATTTCCTTCCTACATCCAGATCATGGTGCATACGTCTGTGCCTCATTCTCCCATTTTATTATCTAAGTTATCAACTTTTTCAACTTTTTCATTTCTATGTAAGTAAGTATTCATTGTATCTATATCCTATGTCATTGTTGATTTTTCTAGAACTAGAATCATGTATTCGGCTGATGATGGGCTTATATAAGCCCGAAACCTCTATGTAATTGATCTCTGATCTTCAAATAAATGTTGTGGAGATGACTTTGGGTTCCTTCATCTATAACCTATTGAAGTTGTGACTCATCATCTTGGTTGCCGAACCGACCCTCAGAAGCCATCCAAAATATGTGCGAGTTGAACTGATGAGGATTATACAGTTCAGATTTCTCAATAACCATTATTAATATAACTGAAATTCTGCTACTAGGTATATTGAATTTTGCTATCATGAAGGCTTGAGCTGAGTGATCATGAGGAAACAAAATTGATATTTCTAACTAGCACACTCACAACAAGGTAACTCTTCAATGGGTGCCAGGGCATAAGAGAATTGAAGGAAATGAAGCAGCTGACGCTCTTGCCAGGCAAGGGTCTGCGACGTTGTTTATGGGACCGGAACCTGTGTTCGGTATCCCCAAAACCTCAATACGCGGCTGGCTGGCAAGGTGGATGCAAGAAAGACATCAGGCATACTGGAACAATGTCCCAGGACAAAGACACAGTAAACTGATGGTTGGAACACTGTCCAAAACAGTGACTAACGACATTCTGAGCCTAAACAGAAGTCAGATCAAACAAGTGACGGGACTAATAACCGGTCACTGCTCCTTGAGGAAACATATGCATCAAATGGGCATTTATACAGACGAACCCATATGCAGACTATGCAATGAGGAGGAGGAAACTGCCACCCAAGTAATATTGGAGTGCGAAGCACTAGCGCGTTGGAGATACAACCTTCTGGGAGCAGTAAACTCCCAAGAGGCATTTTCAAAGAATGATTTGGTGAAGAGGCTGCTAAACCTCATCAAGGTAGCGAACCTGTTCACCTAAGTCAACAGCATGATCAGGAATACAATAGGCCCAAAGGCTGCAGTGTTTTGGGCTTCGAACCCTGACTGATCATTCTGCTATTAATCAATCAATCAATCAATCAATCAATCAATCAATCAATCAATCAACTGGCACACTCTGATGTATCTCGAGAACACGCAGCATAGGAAAAAAACTGTTCCGCAAATATAGGCCTATCGCACTATAAGTTTTATCCGAAGAGTTGAAGAAAGTCATCAAATGTACACATTTTTCACAAACGATGAGGTTTTCACAAAATTCTTAGTCACACGAAATGTTTTGCTAACACAGTAGCTTCGTCAGATGAAATACTGGTACAATGAAATTACACCGTATTCTAATGTAGATATTGTGCCCATTTTCCGAAAATGAAGGTTTTTCAAACTTTGTAGGTTATTTAAGTTCATTTCTTTGTACCAGTACTTCACGTGATGAAGCTACTGTGTTAGAGAAACATGTCGTGTGATCAAGAGTTTTGTGGAAATATTATCGTTTGTGAAGTTCACAATACCTAACCTAACTCGTCCAAAATGAACCTTGCTTGCGTCATTACAGGGAATGCCTGAAACTATTAGGCAAACGGTGTACGAAATTTAGAGTTACGCTGTTTGCCTGCAATACGTGAATTGACTAGGCATTTCAGGGAATGACGGATTTCACTGTTTGACGACGACATAAACATCCTATAATATACAGGGTGACCCAGGGTTAAACCTCCAAACGTTTAGGATCAGTATTTTAGGCAACAATAAGACTTTTTCTTCCTCTAAGCATGTGTCCTTGCTTCATTTTAGAGATATAGGGTGTCAAAGTTTTCAAAAAAAAAACAGTTTTTCATTAATTACTCAAAAACCTTTGGGCTGATTTTGATGAAACTTGGCATGCTCATTTGAGGTAATGAGAAGCTTCTGTCCACTGTTTACTTAGAATGGAATTATTATTTCGAGTGGCGTCCGAGAGGGTAATCTATCTAATATCAGGATAAATGATTGAACGCCACGTAATTTTTTCGCAGCTTTTTACAAATTAGCTATTGAATTTTTTCAAAAAAAAATCAATGGATACAGAAAAAAATCGATGGAAAAAATTGTATTTTCGCGAATTTCGATTTAAAAATTAAACATACAAATAAAATAGTGGTGTACATTGGTTGATCCTAATATATTACATAGATTACCCTCTGGGACGTAACTGGAAATGATAATTTCATTTTGGGTTAACAGACAACAGGAGCCCCTTATTACCTCAAATGAGCATGCCAAGTTTTATCAAAATGAGCCCAAAGGTTTTTGAGTAATTAATGAAAAACTGATTTTTCTTGAAAATCTTGACACACTATATCTCTAAAATGAAGCAAGTAAGGACACATGCTCATAGGAAGAAAAAGTCTTATTTTTGTCTAAAAAACCGATCCTAAACGTTTGGCGGTTTAACCATGGGTCATCCTGTATATTGGCGCAATCGGGAATCTCCTCTGGAGAGGCCGAGACCAAAGGGTGGCTCGAAAGGGTTGAAAATCGAAGGGTTGCTAGCGGAGTAACGGGGGTCGTGAAAGGCACACAGTCCTCGGCTCTGAGCGAGAGCACCACCTCATTTGAATTTCTAATTAGCAAACCTCCATGCAATTATTGGATTAATGTAAATTACGACGACGCGTTGTGCTCAGTAGCAGGGCGGGGTGGGAGAGCAGGGATGGGATAATTAAAATCCGTTGATTAATATGTAAATTTAATAAGATTACAGTTCCAGGAACGAATGGAGCCGCGGCAGCGGTACAGTTTGACAACTCGGCTGTCTGGTTGTGTGTGTCGTCCTTTCTTCTTCTGCCGATACATTTTGGTAT